CCTTGGCTCTAAAGAACAGCTGGAATTGTCACAGAACATCCCTGTTCCGTTTTATGGATCCTGTTGTTCCCTTGGCCCTAAAGAGCAGCAGGAATTGTCCCCTGTCCCCCCGCCCCGTCACCGGGCTGCCTTGCAAAGGCTGGGAAGCAAATCCAAGCCTGGATCTTTCCCTGGCAGGATCCCCGTGCCAGGATCTCCCCGTTAACCCTTTCCTTCCCCAGCTGGACGAGCTGTTCCGGGGTTCTGATGTCAGGAAGGATTTCAGGAGCATCCGAGTGCGGGACCTGGGCCAGAGCAGCGCCGTCAGGGTCATCGTGGAGGCCCACTTTGACCCAGGTGGGGCCATTCCCTGGCCATTCCCAGAGGGAATTCTGGCTGGGAAATCTGCCTGGGGAGGGGAAGGAAAGAACCATCCTAAAATTCACTGGGGTTGGGTCTTCTATCCTGCAAAATTTCTGTGTGAGCAGACATGGGAGGAGCTGCCTGCTAAGGAAGCTGGAAGGCTTTTCCTTGGGAAGGAAGGATTATTTTCCTTGGGAAGGAAGGATTATTTTCCTTGGGAATTGAGGGATTATTTTCCTTGGAAAAGGAAGATTATTTTCCTTGGAAAGGAGGATTATTTTCGTTAAGAAAGGAGGATTATTTCCTTGGGAAAGGAGGGATTATTTTCCTTGGAAAGGAAGATTATTTTCCTTGGGAAAGGAGAGTTATTTTCTGTGGTAAAGGTGGTTTATTTTTCTTGAGAATAGAGGTTTATTTTCTTTGGAAAGGAGGGTTATTTTCTTTGGGATGGAGTATTATTTTCCTTGGGAAAGGAGAGTTAGTTTCATTGGGAAAGAATTATTTTCCTTGGGAAGGAAAATTATTTTCCTTGGCGAAGAGGATTATTTCCTTGGGAAAGGAAGGTTATTTCCATGGGAAAGGAGGGATTTGGGGAGGTCAAGGGAAGGAAATTCCCCCTGGAATGCTCACTGTTGCCTCCCTCCTTTGCCCTCCTGGCTGGGCTCAGCCACGTCCTACACGGCCGCCGACGTGCAGGGGGCCCTGCTGAAGCAGCTCCGGGCTGCCAAGAGGAAAACCATCCTGGTGAAGAGGCCCCAGCAGGAGCACATCAAATTCATGGATTTTGGTGAGTGCCCCTCGCTTGCTTTGGGGTTTCACAATGCCTGGGGGGCTCTGCTGGTCTTGCCAACCCCTTAAAAGCTTCCCCGGGTGGGTCCCGGAATGTTTGGGGTTGGGAGGGACCTTAGAGGGGACTGGGCATGGGCAGGGATCTTCCACAGGGTGCTTGGGCACT